AGTAGCTGAGACTACAGGTGCGTGTCACCACGCCCAGTTAATTTTTGTATTTTTAGTAGAGACGGGGTTTCATCATGTTTGCCAGGATCATCTCAATCTCCTGACCTTATGATCTGCGCACCACGGCCTCCCAAAGTGCTAGGATTACAGGCATGAGCCATCGCACTCAGCCAACTACCCTCCTTTTGAGAGACAGCTCTTGTCCTGTTACTGGGCTTTGGTAGAAAGTGAATGTTTGACTATGGGTCATCAAGTGACCATGCGACCTGAACTGCCTATCATGAACTGGGTTCTTTCTGACAGATCTAGCCATAAAGTAGGTCATGCACAGCAGCATTCCATCATCAAATTGAAGTGGTATATACATGGTCAGGCTCGAGGAGGTCCTGAAGGTACAAGTAAGTTACATAAGGAAGTGGCTCAAATGCCCATGGTCTCCACTCCTGCCACCCTGCCTTCTCTTCCCCAGCATGCACCAATGGCCTCACGGAGAGTTCCCTATGATCAGTTGACAGAGGAAGAGAAGACTAGGGCCTGCTTCACAGATGGTTCTACACTATATGCAGGCACCACCCAAAAGTGGACAGCTGCAGCACTACAGCCCCTTTCTAGGGCATCCCTGAAGGACAACAGTGAAGGGAAACCTTCCCAGTGGGCAGAACTTTGAGCAGTGCACCTGGTTTTCCACTTCACATGGAAAGAGAAATGGCCAGATGTGTGATTATATACTGATTTCATGGACTATAGCCAATGGTTCCGCTGGATGGTCAGGGACTAGGAAGGAGCATGATTAGAAAATTGGTGACAAAAAAATTTGGGGAAGAGGTATATGAATGGACCTCTCTGAGTGGTCAAAAACTCTGAAGATATTTGTATCCCATGTGAGTGCTCACCCGCGGGTAACCTCAGCGGAGGAGGAGTTTAATAATCAAGTGGATAGTATGACCCATTCTGTGGATACCACTCAGCCTCTTTTCCCAGCCACCCCTGCCATTGCCCATGGCCAACAAAGTGGCCATGGTGGCAGGGATGGAGGATATGCATGGGCTCAGCAACATGGACTTCCACTCACCAAGGCTGACCTGGTTACGAACACTGCTGAATGCCCAATTTACCAGCAGCAGAGACCAACACCAAGCCCTCAATATGGCACCATTCTTCAGGTGATCACCCAGCTACCTTGGACAGATTAATTATATTGGACCTCTTCCATCATGGAAAGGGAAGAGGTTTGTCCTCACTCAAAGAGACATTCTGGATATAGTTTGCCTATGTTGCATGCAGTGCTTCTGCCAAGACTACCATTTGTGGACTCACGGGATGTGTTGTTTTGTTTTTGAGATGGAGTCTCACTCTGTTGCCTACGCTGGAGTGCAGTGGCACAATCTTGGCTCACTGCAACTTCCGCCTCCTGGGTTCAAGTGATTCTCCTGCTTCAGTCTCCCAAGTAGCT